TAGGTGAGCCTTTAAACTTTACAGTGTGGTCTACAACGTGATGTAGTCAAAATAATCACAAAATTATAATCGTAAAGCACGTACGTATATTGTCTCAATCCCATTACTTGTACGAAATGAGCCAATTTAAAAGTTAAAAAATTACATAGTTAAACATTCACATTTATGTACTTTTCAGATGAGATTAAAGCGTAACATTATCAACATGACTTGAAATGTAACAGTTTTTATGTTTTCATGTAAATTGTAAAGTTTGGGTACATTGAAGTTGCCTACTGAAGTATGAAATGGAATAATAGCATTCTAGACGACAACCTACAAGAGCAATGTTGTATCTTTCTCCCTTTATTCTACGATATACCTACATAAGTACAGCCATTCCATTTGGTAATTAATCCGTGCGTTCGATCGCACTATATCCTCGCTACGCTGCCTGCTGCAATATCAGCATATTGTGTTCTCCATGTAATTACATTTTAGCCGAGTGGTGTAAGCAAATGAAAATGCATAGTGTATGCCAATATGGCGCCGACTTCTTTCACTTTAATCAAAATGTTACTTTTGGTGCATTACCAGTAATGTGATTTAATTTGTCGACTTACAATGTATTTTTGAATTATGTTGGTTTGAATTGGGTAGTTTCCTGGGTCAAAAATAAATTATTTTGATTTCTCAGTCCAATTAAATATTGAAAAATAGTTACCACTTTCATTCATTGATTTGACGATTTTCTTAATTTTGGATTTATACGTATACTAGCATTTTATTTTGATATAAGTGGGCTTTTTGACGCGAAAATATGATGACACCATAAGATGGTATTTCGTACAAAATTCATAGAACAGTATCGATTTTAAGGTTTCGATAAAAGTATTGAATTTGACTAGTTGTCAACTACTTACCATATTTTGCCAAAGAAGAAAAAAAAAACAACTACCTTATGCGTAACATTAGAAGTGATGACATTAAGATTATAATTCCCAAAATATTTACTAGAACAGCAATTAACGTCAACACTTTATCGCTATAAAGGCGTATAAAGACGGCCCATCGAAAGACGTCTAGAAAATTCTTCATCCGACCGTTATCTCATAAATAACTCTGCAAATAAAGAAATACGTTTCCCGTACGGAGGTAGTTGTATAAATACAGGGACTAAATGAAAATAAGTGTCGACATTAATCAGTGAGCTCTCAGGTCGGCCCACGTAAATACGGGTCTTTTGAGCCGTAGACCTAAATATACCTAAATATTACACCTACACTCATTACGGCTGAGAAGAAATATATTTTAGAATAGGCATGATAATAGGATCACTTGAATTTCTAACGTGCAATTTTATGAAATACGGATCTAAAGTAGGAATTAAAATATTTTTGAGTAGATACCTACATATTTGAAGTCGAGTTTGACGGGCCATTAGTCTTTAGGATCGTTGTACTTACTATAATTATTCATTTAATAAAAATAGTGTACAGAAAAGTAGTTGCCGTAAATAAACATTATTTTCAAACACATAGATCTACAGTATAGTTGGAATTTTAATTTTAAACTTTAATGAGAACTGCTCGCTTCATATTTTGGTCAAAAGCGTGGTAGTTTGAAATCGTTTTTTTTTCTGTTTTTCACTAACTTTCTCATTAAAACAGGTGGATGCAGTTACCAGTGCTCTTGGTACATAACACGTAAATGATTTAACCGTAGCGGGAAGAGATTTACATAATCATATTTGCAGACGCTTTTGAATGCATGAGCTTCTTCTAAGAGATTAATTAAGACCTCTTACGTCATGCAATTTCAAGGAATAATAGGGTATAATTGTTTCATAGAATTATTAAGGATGCAATTATTATAAAGAGGTTTTCAGTGAATATCTTTGAAACTAATTGTAGTTAGAAAACCAATGAAGCTGAGAATACAGTGTACACTATCAGTATAAACTTAATAACAAATATAGGATTATTGTCATCTTAATTAAAAAATCCTTTACGTAAGTAACTCGGGTGAGTTACTTATATACAATAATAAAGATGATAAAAAATGAGAAACAAAATATAGTTAACGAAGTAGAAAGCGCGTAACAGAAGTTTTAGTCAAGGCGACGAAACAGCCAACCTTTGCAACTTTAAACTATTAATTAAAGACAGTACTTTCAAGTAAAATTAAATAGAGTTTCACGTACGAGAAAGCACTGTGAAGAATAAGCACAAGACAATTAGAATAGAACTGTTTCTGATTATAACTTCAAATTAGCTTCATGTTTAAATTTCTTCAATCACTTACTTATGGACAGCTCCTTCGATGGAAATGTGAAGAAAGTATTAGTACCGAGAAATAAGGCAAAGTTGATCTTTATACATTGCTAAAAAGTAACAATTTTAGATATTCTATCCACGTGTAGAAACGTTTCAAACTTTTAACACCCGAACTCGTGCAAATATGTAGCTACAGGCAGTATATCAAGCTATCCAATTTTGTCTTTCATTAATACATTTTCAACCCAAAAGTCTTGTAATAGAGTTCATAATCTATTTAGGAATTGTAACAGGTTGACGTGCTGATACGTGTACAAAGTTCAAAACAATAGTTGTACAACTTCTACAACAAATTTTATGAAACAGTCTTTTAGCCTGAAGTCTGGAAAATAGGAGCCTTATAAGAAGCTAACAAGAGCTTTTTTTAAATGTTTACGTACAATGCGTAATAGAAGGGAGTTTCTGCTGTATTAAGAACGAAAATGTAGAATATTTACTCAGGGAAATGTACTGATTGACGTGCCCCTGTCTTTAGGAATCTTAAGCATATTAAAACCTCTTTCTTCACTTGAAATGGAAATAAGACACATTCAATGTACGTCACGCCTTTTTAGGATTCGATTTCAAAAGCGGCCAGAAGAGCACATACATATACAGTGTAACATAACCGGTCGGTGTACACTTGCCAAGAGTATTGACCATGTTTTTAAATCTTTGTGTGGGCCATTCGCACCTTCCACAGGAGATGCTCGATACGTTGGTTGTACCTATTGTAAAAAACCGGACGGGAGACATAGCTGACAAAGGGAACTATAGGCCAATTTCATTGGCAACTGTAATAGCCAAAGTGTTTGACAGTGTGCTTGACGGGCACTTGAGTAACAGTACAAAACTACACGACACACAGTTCGGTTTTCGTGCGGGGCTGTCTACAGAGAGTGCAATATTAGCTTTAAAGCACACTGTCAAGTATTATACGGACAGAAGGACACCAGTGTACGCTTGTTTCCTAGATCTTTCCAAAGCATTCGACCTAGTTTCATATAACGTGTTATGGGAGAAGCTTCGGGGGGCGGGAGTTCCGGCTGCATTGGTGTCAATATTATCTGTCTGGTATGAAAAGCAAAAGAACTTTGTTAAATGGTCCAATGCATTATCTGAGCCATATAAACTGAAATGTGGTGTAAGGCAGGGGGGTCTGACTTCCCCGAGAATATTTAATATCTATATGAACAGCTTGCTTGTTGAGCTCAGCAGCACGCATGTCGGTTGTCATTTAGACGGAGTAAATTTAAATAATTTAAGTTACGCAGACGATATGGTGCTGCTGAGCCCCACAATCGGGGGAATAAGAAAGTTACTAACTATATGTGAAAGATATGCTAAACAGCATGGGCTGAAGTATAATCCCACGAAAAGTGAGCTATTGGTATTTAAGGGAAAAAATAGAAGTCCTTCATATGTCCCACACGTAAAACTGAACGGATTACTTCTGAATAGGGTATCACAATTCAAATATCTGGGCCATATTGTGACAGAGGATTTAAAAGATGATCTAGATATGGAAAGGGAGCGCAGGGCGCTGGCTGTTAGGGGAAACATGTTGGCGCGCAGGTTTGCTGGTTGTTCAGCACCAGTTAAAATAACACTTTTTAAGGCGTTTTGTCAAATATTTTACACCAGCAGTCTGTGGGCTAATTATACTCAAAAGGCGGACAGCGCACTGCGCATTCAATATAATAACGCCTTCAGGACGCTGTTGAGGCTTCCACCTTACTGTAGTGCGTCAGGTATGTTCGCGGATGCGCACACTGATGATTATTTCGCGATCATGCGCAAAAAAGTGGCATCAGTGTTGCGCAGACTGAGGGAGAGCAGCAACGGCGTTCTGAGGGTGTTTGCAGAAAGGCTAGAAGGGCCTACAATAGATAGATTTATCAAGCTGCATGTCAGACGTGGGGCTTGATAATGCTTCTAATAATAATCTGTTCTGTATTTGTATTTGTGTATGATTGTATTATTTTGTTATTGTATTTTTGTACTCGTGTGTTACTACTAACATAGTTTTTAAGTTTGTACTGTTTACTAACACTCTATGGGCCGTCGACGCCTGATAATAAAAGATTTTTTTTTTTTTTTTTTGTATTTATAACGGAATAGATCTGGAAAATATAACCAAGACCCCTTGCCCAGCAGTCGAACTTGTAATCGCTGGACCAACAACGCAATTTGACATAGATACATACACTTAGTACATGAAATAAAGCAGACAGTCGGAAACAATGGTCCACTAATTTTGGTCCACACTTTATGCAAAAACAACTGGGAATCATTTCAGATGATAATTTTATTGTTTGTTTAGCAAAAATTATGCTTTTTTTCTTTCGGACGATTTTGGCAGAGTATTATTTGTAGCTATTGTTAGGCCACGTAAATTGGTTTACAATTCGTAAAGAACTTGGTTGATATTTTATTGAATTCAATATTTAGTTTCATGATTTGGCTTTTAGCAGTTTTAGGTATATAGGAATAAGTATTCATGTACTTATGTACGTAAATAAGGGCCTGTTTCACAATAATATAACATTACTGTTACCATAACTAATACATATTTTGAGACGTTTCACAATTATGAAAAACACGTCAAATTATCAGTCGAGTTACCATTGTGAAATAGGACCAACATGTTTCTAAACTTCACATTGAAACTGCATGCGTGCAAATCAAATCAAAATTAATACATACGCAGCTTTCTTCTCAGCCCACTCATCAGCATGTTCCTGAGCCACCTTCGCGAGGTGTTCCCTTGCTTTTTCAGCCTTCGTGAACACCTGCATTCTCCTGGCCACGTCCGTCTCCACTCGTTTGAGGGTCAAGTCGTCTTTTGCACGTTCATCCTGTACGTATACAATAAACATTTAATAAAGTTAAAGCTAACCTGGTTTTAAATCGTACATATTCTAAACCAATATTATATTAAACGTATTTCAGACTGCCTCGTTGGCCGAGTGATCGCAATTGTGACTGCCGGGCAAGGGGTCTCGGGTTCGATTCCCGGGTCGGGCAAAGTATTACAGGGTTTTTTAAAAAAAAAAATTCTCAGTTGTAGCACGGAGTCTGGAACTGTGCCCGGTATATGGCAATAGGCTCACCCCCTATTACATGGGACTCATAACATAAATAGTGAAAAGTGGGTGTTACATTGTACAGTGGTATAATGTGCACCTCTGCCTACCCCTTCGAGGATAAAAGGCGTGATGTTATGTTATTTCAGTCCTGTAGCTTGTGAATCCCACCCACCAAAAATTGTATTCTTGTCATCTTATAAAGCTTGCCAATTACGAACACCTGACATAATTAATAGACACGTTTTTTGACCTCACTACAGTTCCTATAGTTTATTTAAGATACTATGACTCTGACTAATCTTTATCACTCACCAGCTTCTTCATCTCCATATGAATCCTATCCATGAACTGGTTGTACAAATACTTTCTATACTGATTGAACTCCTTTAGAGAACACACTGCCCTCCCATCCTTCGTGCAGAACCCAAGTTGCTTCATTCTGTTCCTCGCTGGTTTTTGTGCAAAATGATGAGCCAAGTGTGGGTCATGCATTGGTACGTAGTCGTAGGTAACGTTGTTGCAGTATGGATCTGTCAGGTCGAAGGTAGGGCGAGGACCGCTGCCGATGCCCAGGCCAAGTCTTCGGACCTGCGAAAATAAATGAAAATCTTAATAAGAGGAACCTTGTTCTACAGTGAAACCTTTGACGAATTGTTTTGGGTCGTAAATGATTGTGAAGGGATTTAAAGGGATTTTTGAATTACATAGAATATGTAACATACCAGCTGTTTAGTAACTTTTCATACATTATTTCAATAATTAGGTATCAAGTTAATGTTTTTGAGAAATCTCACTATTACTTAACATCAAATTCTATCAGTAAATTATAAGTACGTACAGCTACAAATTATAATTTCCTTTCGACTATAATCGGGGCTATCCCTACACGTCAATAATTATATTTACCGCCCGGCGAGTTCCTGCTGGGTCAGATAATTTAATAGCAATGTGAAAACAACACTCAATTTTGGAATAAAGCAATTATTATATTATACCGATCTTTTTATTTAATGCCTTACGAAATTTTAGTTAAGAAATCAAATACACAAGTCACAACTATGAGATTAGAGAATGCTAATGCGTTTCATAACTCATAGGCGTTTCTCATTTTAATGCATACCCAGAAAACATTTCATTAGTCATTAGTGACCTCTATACGTAGGTATCTCTCTCCGGAAGACACAATTACCGTAGCTATTATTGCAGCTAATGAATAAATTGGATAGTCCCGTCTGTATAACAACAAAGAGTCCATTGTAATACTGAACGAAGCAAAACTGCATGTAAAATTAACTATTATTATGAAAAGTGGGAAATATACCTGTGTAGTGTATTTGTATAATCTATTATTTTACTACTTCATTCAAGTGTATATTGTCCTTAATAAAATAAAATAAAAATAATTAAAATACAATTAAAATAACCCATTATCCTTCTCAACTTTTTTTTATAGCATAAGGCGGTCAACGACCAGACGGATCACCAATCGGCGCCGCCCATGGACACCCGAAACACCAAAGCGTTACAAGTGCGTTACCGGCCTTTTGGGAATTGGGAATTTGAGGATTAAGGAGGATTCAGGGATTCGGGAGACTAGGGATTCGGGAGACTAGGGAGGGGATAATTGGGCCTCCGGTAACCTAACTCACACGACGAAACACAACGCAAGCGTTGTTTCACGTCGGTTTTCTATGAGGCCGTGGTATCACTCCGGTCGAACCGGCCCATACGTGCCGAAAAATGGCTCTCCCACACTTAAACTTAAGTTATAATATGGCTGATCAATGACCCAACTGTATACTTATCAGGTAAGGTAGATATCAATTTAATATTAATAGCGCGACGTTGAGTTAAACTAGAATTCCCCTGCGCTACTAATCTACTTTGTGCCACAATTTCTCTCTACTGCTACGAGATTTACTTCCAACTTCCAAAATCCTTAGTAAAAGGTTGAAAGTTATTTGTTTAGGGAAAAACAGTTTTTAATAAATTTTCAACGTAAGAGTAAACTGATATTACAAATTGCTAACGCTTCCAATCTTCTGGAAACCATATCCCCGCTGGAATTTAAGGCATTCCTTTCCTAGTACCCACTTTTGTAAGTTCTACCGAAGTTTCTTGATTCTATACCTAATAGTTTACTCAAAACTAATTTAGACATTCTCAATTCTAACTTAAAATACACAAATCGAATTACTTTAAAAAACTTACGTTCTTTTATTGTTGGTATGCATTTCATTAATGTTAGACTATTTTATCCTTTTCTGTGCCTTTAGACAAACGCCACTTTAGCGCTTATCTACCGAGAGAGTGGAAAACTAGATGTATGGGGGATGACACTGACAAGTGCCAAAATTTACGTCAATTCCATATAGGTAATTTGGTTTTCCATTCTACAAGTAGACAAGCGCTATATGGCATTTGGCTACAGCTGCTGGTCTGAAAACGCTACGATATACAGTGTACATCTATTTTAACAATTCTTTATTTAACAATCAAGCTTCAAAGTTTATTAGATACTAGCTTCTGCCCGCGACTTCGTACGCGTAATCCCATTTTTTCCCGTCCCCGTTCGTGATTTTCGGTAAAAAGTAAAAAAAAAATTTGGTTAAAAAGTATCCTATGTCGGTCTCCTGGCTCTAAGCTACCTCCCTACCAATTTTCAGCCAAATCTATTCTGCCATTTTTGAGTTATAAGTGGTGTAACTAACACGACTTTCTTTTATATACCTCTATATAGATTTATAACATACTTCATAAAATAAAATTCATATGCTACTAAAAATAGCAACTCGCAACATCAATGAAACACCTGGCAACAAAATTACTTCAAAATTTAACTTCATTAATATGCTTTTAATGGTTTGCAGTGTAAACAAAATGTTCTGTCGTTGCAAAGTAATTAAGTGCAGTGAATAAAGGTTATTGTCAATATACGTCGGAAGCTTGTTAAGTGATGGCAAAAGGTGGGTCCTTTTAAACCGACACCGGTGGTGACGGAATACTATGAAATATTTTACGTTGAACAGACCATAGATAATGACTTTGGTATTTCTGTTTTATGTTTTAATGGGGGTGATGAAAAATGCGTTTATATTTAATTTGGGGGAAGGTTGAATTGTCGTTTTCTGTGTGTTGGAACTAGCGTTGGTTTTGCTTAACACGAATAAACATGACAAACATTTTGTGTTGATGAGAATTAATAGTTCTAGTTTTTCGTAATATAATACCCGAATGTTTTGATTATGACATCATTTTTTGGGATTCCACCTGAAATGGTTATAGAACTTGAACTGGACTTGTATATTACAATTGAAACATCAAAATCTTGTCCCAGTAAGAGTCTAGTCATCAACAAGTGTTCTGAAGAGCTTTTTAGCAGTTTACAAAAATCAGAATCAATTTTAGACACACAAAAATGGAGTTTAATACGAAAAACTCTTTGATATACCTACGGTAAGAAATCGAAGAGTCTCGTCAACATTGAGGGAATAGATTGAGGTAATTTATAAAGCTAAATAATCCAAGTATAAGGCAGGTATATCGGAGCCTTTAAAGCTGTGGGTGCTTATATTGAAAAAATGATTTTGAAGCGTGTATGGAAGCTATATGTTCATGTTGTTAAGGTGGGAGAAGTGAGTTCATCAGATTGATTTGGGCATTGTGTGCTAGTTTAAAACGTCTAGCATCTTTTCATTTATTTTAATCATACGTCAATTTATAATGTAGATTAATAACACATCTGCAGCTGTAGCCAAATTCCATTTAGCGCTTGTCTACTTGTAGAATAGAAAACCAAATTATATGGAATTGACGTAAATTTTGACATTTTGATTTCTACACTCTCTGTAGACAAGCGCTAAAGTGGCGTTTGGCTAAAGGCCCTGGTGCTCCTAATTACTATAGTCAGCAATGATTTCTACTCTAATTACTAGGAGACCTCGATGGAAAAATGTGCGACATGTAATAGCAAAAGTGATTAGCCGATTTCCAAAAAAGAGGTTCTTAGTTTGTATGTACGTATGTTTTGATTGACTGACTGAACTGTATTTGATGCGATGTCAGAAAAGTGTTTGTTAGAGGACTTAGGAGAAGATTTTAGCCGACTACAAAAAAGAGGGGGTTGTACTCGATTTATTTAAACGTAGTTTATGAAAGATCCATGACAATACTCACCAATACGTATAAAACGAAGATATTCACCAATTTGTATACATATAAAATTCGAAGAATTCCCACCAATATATTCGTGTTTCAAGTGTACTAACAAACGGTATTTCCGTATCGAGTGACAACAAGATACAATGCTAGTTACGTTATCCCCGAGAGATGGCTTCGACAGGGAAATTGCGAACAAAGTCACCATGACAGTCGCCTTACAAAAGCAAATAGATGTTCTCTTGAAACTCGTAGAAATGTTTCAAAATGAACATTGAACAGCTATTTCTAAACCAACTGTAGCGTCTTGTCTGCTTGTTTCTTTATGTTTATTTGCTGTAAGGGTGTTTTTTAAGAAAGTGCTGTTTTTGTAGTGTTGATTTTGTGGTTCAGTTAGGTTTGGAGAAGCCAATTTTTATTGCAAATTTGCTACCTTCTGTTTTGATTGCCCAACGAGCAGAATAATAAATAACCGGATGGACACCCGCAACACCAGAACAGTTAAAGTGCCTTGTCGGCCTTTTGAAAATTTGAGGGAAATGGGGATTTATTAAGATCGAAGCCTTTTTGAATAAATTAATAAATACGCTACTTTGACCAAAACAATTCTCATCACACTACTCCTAATATCCCAACGAAGTTCAAAACAAAATAAACCATCCAATTTGACAAATATCCAGCCAGCTATCTACCTATAGACAAGTCTACCTTCCTGCGATATATCGCGGCCATACTATTTTGGCACGTGCCGAAGCCGGAGATGACAGGCTATCGCGACGGCCCACCCCGACATGGGAAACTTTGCACGTCCACCGTTATCAAATGCACGTGTACTTTGACGTGTAAACTGATGGCCGAATTAAGGTTGCGTTGCATTATATTGTGTTGAGAAGTTTAGTACCTAGTGAATTTTAATGTTTAGGTATTAATATAAAGGATTTTATTGATTTCATTGGGAAATTCCCGGCATGAGACAGACAAAGGATGATTTCCGTTTAAATTTTATTAGGTGTCACATTTCCGTGACGTGATCTGATGGAGGTTAAACAAGTATTTGAGTAAGGCGTGAAATGTACAGAGCAAAATAAAAAAAACAGTTTCAGTAAGTTCATGTTAAAATTCGTGCGTCCGAATATTGATTAGGTAAATAATGCAAAATGCAATCAATATAATACATAACTTTTATTTGATTGGGAAAAATCATCCAATGACTTTTCCCGCCCGGGTGAGGAGAGACTCCCGTGTCAAACTTTTACTGACTAAAAACCACCCCGTTCCTACTCCTGCACTTCGAGCCAAAGCCCCGGCAACCTGTTAAGCCCTCCGCGCCTCCGTATATAGTTACATCACTAGCTACCTACTCATAACATTGATTTCTAAGCGACGATACTGCTATCGATATGAAATTAATAACTTATCCATTCCCAAAG